TGCAGATGAAAAACTTTATCTGCAAGAAAGAAGTGAAATGTGTGTGTTGTGGAGAGTTGTTGAACAACAAAGTATACGAATTTGCTTCACACAAACAAACAAACAAACAAACAAACAAACAAACAAACAAACAAGAAAGGTGGACAAAAATGAACAGTTTATTCTCTTCTTCTTACATTTATCATTATTATTATTATTATTATTATTATTATTATTATTATTATTATTATTATTATTATTATTAATCCGCACAAAAACAGAATTAGGAGAAGAAGGATTTGGGGTTAGAAACAAAAACCTCAGTGGGTACAAAACAGGCATGGATTGATTGATGGTAATAACAAATTGCTTCATCAAAATTGCTCTGTTTCAACCAAACATTTTTGCCAGAAAACTTGGGGATAACAACCTCAAAAGTTCCGAACTTTTCCACAGAAATTGAAGAAGAAAATGCTCGAAAACTACGAAAAATCAACAACATTCGAAAGTTTTGCAGAAATTAAAATTAAAAAAAAAAAATACCTGCCCGCAAACATCTGCACAAAAATCATCAGTCTTCTTCGATGGATAATAATAACCTTCAGACGTCATCGATTACCCAGAATTTCGCTTTCCCCTCACAAATTCCCCCAAAAATAAAAATTAACTACGAATAAAATAAAAAAAATAAAAAAAAAATCTAAATTAAATAGAATGAAAATGAGGGAGGCAGCGAAGCAGATAGCGCCTAAATTAGGGGCCAAAAAATCTGGCCAATTTAACTCCTCGAAGAACAGAAACAGGCCATTAAAGGGGCAATTTTTATTTTATTTATATATATATATTATTTTTCTCCAAAAAAAGAAGGAATAAAAAAGGCTTCCATGGATGTGTTTATCTGCTTCAGCCAACACCGCTATTTATTTAAATAATAATAATAATGTTCTTTTTCTCCCCTCTCTCTGAACAAATTCCTTTTTTCAGAGAGGAGAAGGAGAGAAGACCCCAATAGGAAGAAATTAAACTAATTTTATTTATTTTATTTTTTTGGGTGTGTTGCAGAAAAAAATTAATATATATATATATATATATATTATATGGATTTGTATTTTTTTTAATTATTTTGTGTTTTAGGAAAAGAAGAAGATAAAA